TATCTCCATCGACGCCAGCTTATGTCCGAATATCTGAACTTTAAACACTGTGAAAAGGGTATTAAAAAAAAACAAAACAACGGTTGTTAATAATTGGACAAAAACTGGAGCACTTTGACCTTTCGCTGATTGTTTACATGGAAATATTTAACTCCGGCTGTTGCAATCCATGAAATCATACTCGGTATGTGGGAGAGAGAGAAACAAACACTCAAGAGCTTCGGAGCTTATATAAACCGAATGACAGGCAGCACACACACACTCTTCATCTCTCTCTTCATTCAAAGGGCAGAGCTTTCCATAGAAGGAGGGATTGTGTTGGATTGGACGGGGGGGGGTTCAGTACTATGAGTCAGCACACACACACACACACACACACACACACACACAGGTCGTTGTGTTACCATAGAGACAGCCGAGTTGGTCAGCGTAAAAGCAGGAAGGACGCCGCCAGACTGTTAATGTGGAGCCTGGCGAGGCGGGAGGGGAAAGGAGGGAGGAGTTAGAGAAGGGACCCTCATTAACCTCTGACCTCGTCACTCTTGGCTGCTAATAAATGATCCTGAGTGATATTTGACCTTTGACCCCCCCCCCCCCCCCACCTCCCGTTTGCCCGGCTGGTTCAGCACCTGCTGCTCTGTGTTGTTTTGATCTCAATCTCTGCAGGTTCAAAGTCCAACGTGCGTCTGTGTTTGTGTGCGTTAAGGCCGCATGCCAACAGGTAGGCAGCTGTGAACTTCAGGTAAACGTTTCCAACCCAGTATTTTTGAGAATATCTCCTCACAGCTTCCCTTCTAGTTGGCCAAGACATGCTGTTGTTGTGTTTCCCACTGGATTTTAACAGACTATGGTGGGTGGGCCTTGGACCCTCTCAGGGGGGTCCGGGCACATGCTCCCCCAGAAATGTTTTTGTACATGTTAAAGTTAAATTCATTAATTTAGTGCAAAATTACGAGGCTATCCATAAAGATCTTTGCTCTCTTGTAAACAATGTTGTGCTATTTTAAACTATTTAATCATAAACACATTGTAGAGCTATAAATGTGATTAAACAGCAACAAAAGTCAACAAATTTATTTAATGTTTTTCCAGCAACCCTAAATCCAAGAATAGAAAATAACATAAGTAATTTCCCAAACATTTTATTGTTGTTGTTTTCTTTTTATTTTAAATGGACACCTGTAATATATTTTACACTTTCTGTGAATATAATCCAAATAATCTCATTTCCATCCTGTATAGACGCCTTATTTTGAACACCGGACGTTGTCACGTGTGTTTCCTCCTCGCGCTAAATCCATCCAGTCCGACCCAGTTTGATAAATAATGTTGTATGTGGTTCTCGTGTGTCGTAACATGAAGACTTCACAGCCTCTCCTCAGGTCAGACTCTCAGACTGCAACACTTGTCTTTGTAAAGTCGCTAACCTGCCCGTCGGCTCGCACTGCTCCGTTTCAGTGGCTTTACCGTAAATGCTTGAATACGCGTGCAAATTAAATCGCCTTCTCACAAACGAGTGACAGAAACAGACGTTACTGTAGTTACCTCAAAAGAAAAGTGGTCGTCTCCAGTCGGATGCCAAAGGTGTGTGAGCGTGTCTTCATAATGTGAATTAAGACTGTAATAACTTCATTTTGATGGCATTTTAACAGCTGGCAAATATATTTTGCATTTGCGTTACGTTACGTTCGAACCCTTTTCATATTTCTGTATGAAATGTATTTCCAGCACTGGAACGCGTGATTATCTGTAGACACGGGGGCAACTCTCAGACAGGTTGAGAGGTGGTTTAACTGGCGCTGCAAATTCAAACAGGAGAACCAATCAAAAGCATCAGAACAGGTTCAAACTTTACCAGACGGCTGTGGCTGGAAACGGCAAAGGAAGACATTGTGCACACAAAAAACATGCAAAGCAACAAAATGAATATTATTCAACATATAGCCGAGCTTTTTAAAGAAAATGTCCAGAAGCAATCATGAACATTTTCATGGGTAACTGTAACTGACCTCCTTTAAAGTGATAAGACAAAATGGTTAATGGGTTCATGTGGAGCGTTGTGAAGAGAAAATGTTTTGATTTTGTCCTCAAAGCATCTCTAATGAAGTCAAACTGCAATTTGAAAGCTACTTTTAGGTTTAGACTTATATTTGACTGATCTACTGATCAGCACCAGCAGCTGGGGTTCAACGGCCTTGCTCAAGAGCACAGCAGTGGTGCTATTAAACCAGAGGTAATCCAGGGTTCGAACCGGCGACCACCTGCCCGTCACGAGACCTGCCACTGCTGCCACAGGAAGGTAAATGTCCAAAAGCATCGACTGGAATGACTGCAGACAAATAATGGTAGTTGCAATTTTGAATAAATGCCAATCTCTGTTAGTCGTTCCAGACCTTTGCTTTGGGAAGTTTTCACTAACTGGAATTTTAATTAAATACCCTTGATATATAATATATATATACTATTGTGCAAACAAAGATTCAGAAGGTGTATTAACAGGCTGTTCCAAGGTGTTTGCTGTACGAATGTGTTTTATGGCTTCATTTACTTCCATTTCTGTAGAATAACCAAAGAAGCCAACGACGCAGTTTTGTCAGCAAAACTGAGAAATAATTCAAAATCTCAGAGATTTACAATTTTCAGTGATCAAGTAATGATTGAACAACGTCAAGTTATCCCTACAGTGAAATAATGAACAAAATACCTTCATTTAATTGTAAATTTTATTTCTACAAAAGCCTGTTCCCATTTAAGGTTTTAAACTACTTATATTTCAATACAAATTATAAATAAGTGTTGTTATGAAACGTTTGACTGGTAGTTTTCTGTTTTATTTAATATTATAGCTCATTTAAAATATGTATACTGTGCTGTTAATCACTGCCACATACATTTTCTCTCCACGTGTGAAGGATGGAAATGAAAGTGGAATACTGTACCTCCGCCTGCGGCGTCCCCACTGTTCCCAGTTCCTGTTTGTAACCCCACCCGCTTTGATCACCCAGTGAATGCACAGAGAGCGCCACTTTTTAACATTTAAGGAACATGTTTATTGAAATCTCGCCTTTAGCTGTAAAAACACAACAAAAGAAAAAAGAAAAAATACTGTACATGTATTTCCCCAGAAAGAAGAAGAGTACATGATTGAGTAGGTGTGTGATTTGATGTCGTGTGGCTTTAAATCCAGCTAGACGCCGTGAGGTGTGGCGCCTGCGAGCTCTAGCGTTAACAGGCTAAATATTAACCCAGCAGGAGCGCTAGCGAGCTGCTAACACCAGCAGGATCTCTGCTAGATCAATCATTTCAGCTCCCTCTCCATATATACATATGATGGTGATGACAGTGAATATGCAGGTGTGTGTGTGTGTGTGTGTGTGTGAGTCTTTGGTACAGGTATTAAGATGGTTTGAACACAAGTCTTTAAAAAGCAGGGAGAACAATGAAATGCCCTTGTTAAGCACACACACACATACACACATTTAATGTTGCAACACAAACATCAGATGAAAAAGTACAAAACAAAATATTTGACATGTCGTTCACATATATGTACAGTCTGAACATCGACACCTTATTGTGATTGTCTCCACGGTTTTCACAGTGCACGTGACATTTATTTTCATTTTCACCGCCGCCATCGCACGTCCATCAACGTGAAGCCAGAAAAACAGCTGATCATCACGCAGCTAACGGCCCCCACTCCTTCCTTTTTTTGTACATTAAATAGAATAGAGCAAGGCACTCTGGGTAAAAGAAGGCAAAAGCGGGCGCCTGGAAAATTACCTGCCATTAATCTGTGCAAACAATTGACTTTTAAACCCCGGTGATTGGGAACACGGCAAAATTAAAAGTCATATTTTAGCTAACCCGACAGGAGGTGCGGAAGGTTAAGAAATGGCTGTATTTAGTCTTAGTGTACCTTTTCCTTCATGGTGTAGTGGCTTTTTACAACCCTCCCTCTGTCCTCCTTATTCCCTTTCTTTCTTTTTCTTTCTTTCTTTACTGCTTGGCTCCCTGACCGAGCTGAAATTACCTTAAATTGGTCTGAACTGGATGGAAACACTCTAAAGTGCTGCTCACCCAGTCTAGTTTCAGGCCAAAGAAAGCCAAGAAACAATAAAAACGGGTACCCAAAAAAAAAAAAAAAAAAACACAACTCAGGAATTCACAGTCACTCTTTGTCACACTTCAACAAGCTGATCCGGCCATAAAGAGCAGCTTTAAACCTCGAGTCAGCTCTCCAGAAAAGAAAAAAAAAAAGAAAAGAAAAACACATTCAGACTTAATGAGGATGTCAGCGTGAACCTTTCAATGCTCGCACAAAGAACTCCAGATTCAAAACACCTGTGAATGATAACAAAAAGAAAGAAACTCATAACCTCCTTCATTTAACCCACCGTGAAAAGGTGAAACTAAACACAAATAAAACAAAAAGAAGAAGAAGCTAAGGATAGACCCATATGGGATTTCCAATATCAACAGTGAACCGATTATTCAAGACTTACGTCTGCGTAAATCATCTTTTTGTTAACTTTCTTATAGTTCAGGAATTCTCAATTAAATAATGTAAGAATTGAACATTTTAACGTGCAATTGTGGAACATGAATACACACAAAAACAAATCGACACAAACATATAGTGTGAAACAACCCTCTATAATGTTCTGGATCAACAGAGTTCATTTTTGGGGGGTTACGGTCACCAATTATCAACAGATAAATATTGGTAAGCCCATATTTGATCTATCCCTCATGTAATCCTTCATGGTGTCCATGTTCAGGTGAAAACCAAAAACAGAACAGAAATGGTGAACACAACCAAAACAAAAATAAAAAAAAAGGGAAAACGGCTGTTTGGAAGTGGGTGCTGTGCAGGGGAATCAGTGCAGCTTTGGTGGAAGAACACTGGCTTTGCCAAATAAGTCCCAGCGTGACTACCACACCCGGTTGGTCCAATAAATGTCCCTCTGGTACATTGACGTGTTTGCGTAGTCTCCTACCTGTTTGCTGCTGTATTTGGGCGGGTTGGCCTTGTAGCTGTAATCCGAATATTGGTCTGAGCCTGTGGAGTTGTTGTCGCCCGTTCCCACGAAGGTGTTGGTGGCGGGGAGGTCCTGAACGGCCTGGTGCTTCTTGGAGGCGGAGGGTGACTGTGGCTGCAGCTGGATGGAGGGTAGGGGGGAGTTGGAGCGGTAGTGGCGGCCCAGGTCGGGGCTTCCCGGCGGGTAGTTAAGGGGCAGGTGGATTCTGGGACTGTCGTTGACGTTGTCGTTGATGAGGTTGAACTTGAGGCCCTTCTGCAGGCTGGCCTCCTCGTCTTCCTCCAGTGGCTTGGCCGGTTTCGGAGCTTTTCCTTTTTTGCTCTTTTTCCCTTTGCCATTTTTGGGGCCCTGCTTGGGAGCGTACAGGTCCTTGCTCTCCTTCTTGCCAGCCTGGTAGCCGCTCTTGGTGTCCTTCTGCAGTCGGTGTCTGATGACCACCACAGCCACAATGACCAGAATCACACCAGCAATACCCGCGAGGCTGCCGTACAGGATGTTGCTGCGCTGAGCAAGGGCGTAGTTGGGATCTCCGGCAATGTCCCTGTCCAGAGGGGTGTAGAGGCTGTGTCCCACCAGCGCTTCAATGAGGGACACATTGGACTTGGTGTCATTGACAAAAACGTGGACTAGGGCGGTGGTGTGGCGGGCCGGTTTGCCTTTATCGCTGACCTTTATTACCAGGCGGTGCAGGCCATTGTGCTTGCCGGTGAATTCCTGCGCCAGTGTGATTTCCCCGCTGTTGGGAGAGATGTGGAACAGGCCATACGGGTTGCCTCCTGTGATGGTGTAGGACAGCTCAGCATTGGGTCCGGAGTCAATGTCCTCAGCCTCGACCACTTCCACACGGGTGTCTGGCGGGGTGACAGGTGACATGTATGTGTAGGAGGAGTTAGCTGGTTTGGTGACATAGGGGGAGTTATCATTCTCGTCCAGGACATTGATGGTCACACCCACATAGGAGGATCGAGGTGGGTCACCAGCATCCACGGCCTTCAGACGGAATGTGTAGGTGCTCTCCTTCTCGCGGTCGAAGGAGATGCTGGACAGGATGGTTCCAGTGCCGTTCTGGATTACAAACTTGCCATTGTCCGGTTCCACAAACAGCCTCACGCGGGCGTTCTCACCTTTATCGGCATCGGTGACGGTCACAACGCCAACAGGATTGAGCGGAGCCATGTTCTCGTTGACAGAGAAGCTGTAGCCGCTTAGCATGAACTTAGGGTCGTTGTCATTGCGGTCCAGAACATTAATCACCACCGTTGCAGTGCCAGTTTTGCTAGGAACACCCTTGTCTGCTGCCGCCACACGGAACTCATAACGATCAGTTTCTTCCCGATCCAGCAGGTTCTTCACACGAATGTCTCCAGTGTTGGAATCGATTTCGAACAGCCTGGTGGCCGAGAGCTCGATGATGCTATAGGCCAGCTCTGCGTTGGTGCCACTGTCTGCGTCTGTCGCTGTGACGCCCAGCACCATGTCACCTGGCTGGTTGCCTTCTGGAAAGTCTACCTCGAGCAACGCGGGGGAAAAGTTCGGCGTGTTGTCGTTCATGTCCGTGACCTGGACTTTGAGGGAGTTGGTGCTAGACAGGGCTGGGTTCCCAGAATCCACAGCAACGATTTCAATCCTGTAATCCTTGACACGCTCATAATCCAGCGGGGTAGTTGTCTGCAAGAAGTATTTCCTCTTCCGATCGTTGGCTGACTCACTCGCAGGTCGCAGCTGAAATGGGACGTCACCGGCAACCACGCATGTCACCACCGCATTTTCCCCCTCATCACGGTCTGACACCTGGACCAATGCCACCGGCGTGCCAATGGGCATGTCCTCAGATATGTTGGCCACGCCGTCCTGGTGTATCACCAGGCCGATACCACGGATCTCAATGGCCGGTGCATTATCATTCTGGTCCCTGACGTTGATGGTCACCAGTACTTTGGAGCTCTTGGAGTTGGGTCCACGATCTTTGGCGACCACAAAGAACTTGAGGAAGTTCTCCTCTTCACGGTCCACCAGGCCCTTGACGTAGATGATGCCTGTAGAACGGTCAATGCGCAGAAGCCTCTGGACAGTCTCCGACGCCTGATGGAGGCTGTAGTCGATCTCTCCGTTGTTGCCAGTGTCTGCGTCATTGGCTCTGACCTACAAGGGCAAAAAAATTATATTTTAGTCTTTTGGCTTTCAAAGCATCCAGGACAACTGGTTCAGTGAGTGAGAGTGACTTGCTCAAGGACACTTGTGCTAGGTATACCCTGAAACCTCCTTACTGAGTGACAAGCGCTTAAACCACCAGAACACACATGACTTTAACAAATCACTTCCTCCACATGACTTTGAGTCTCTTCTAGTTTGTTTTTAGAAAATGTTCTTTGTTATGTTTAGAAGGTGTTTGGGTAAGTACATTTTAAGTCTGTTTGGAAAATGCAGAAAACACAATGGAAAAGCGAACTAAGACAATCTATTGGACGTTAGCCTTTCATGGCTTGCTCTGTTTTGATGACAGACAGGAAATCTTTAGTACTAAACGCTTTCAACTTCACAATAAATGTCCAGACTTTGTTTTGACTGGCAGCCAACGAGGATGGTCAAAAATTGCAGTCCATCAAATGGCCCCTTGAGGATGGCTCCAGCCTTAACACCACCTCTTAGCCCATTTTTGGGTTAGATAAAGTTGGTGGCGCCGCCCACACATCATGTACTCCATCCATGTTTTATACAGTCTATGGGCTGAACACAGTTAAATTTGAATGATTATTTTAGATTGTTTGAGTTACAACGACTCACGACCATTACTAATGCAACACTACAAAGCCCTTTGTAGTTTCCGTAGGGGGAGGGATTTTGCTGCTGTGTGTGAAACATAGCCGACGATCAAAGCTGAGTGCACACACCCACACAACAACATCTAACGGCCATGCAGCGGGTCATTGGCATCTAATGGGCAGATGAGTGAATGTTAATGTTCCTCTCATTATGAGAAAAGCCCCAGCTCCTCAGGGCCCATTAGAAGACAGGAGAGGACAGACCAGCGTCCGCCATGATGCGGCTTCCTACGCCCAAACCCAAAGTAAATGGAGGTAATTACTCAATTAGGAGGTACGATCAGTCAGCAGAATATCACTTAGGATGTACTCGTTAGGACACCTTTGTATCTACACATCTAATACTTTTTAATTGAGTTCATTCGATGCCACGGCTGCTGTTGAGAAATGTGGGTCGGTGCGTAGTTTTAAATGATCTAGTTGTTGAACAGCTGATTTAAACCTCCCTGGTGCTGCTGGTTCAGCGTTTTCTACAGGCTTCATGTGGGACTTACAGTAATGTAATTAGGGTTTTTAAAATTTAAGGCCATTATTCCTTTTAAAGCAGAAACTGAATGTGAGCCAAGCTTGCACTCAGCAAAATAATCTCCAAAAATGTAGGTCCTAAAAAAAAAAGAAAAAAAAGAAATGTTGGTTTCTTAAAAAACAAGAAAAGAAATCTGCCAGTGGGGTGAGATTATTTGAGCCTATTTAAACAAAGAGTAAAACTCATGTTGTTTTGGGCCAAGGACACAGAAATCTATTTAAAATTCTAGTGGAGATGTTTTTCAAGTTTGACATTTTGGGAAATACGCTTGTTCAATTTTTAAAGAGTTAGATGAGAAGACTGATACCACCACCACATCTTTAATAATTAACATTAATTAAACAATTAAGGAGGATATCAGGGTTTAAAGGGTTAATGCAGAATCTCACTCAGGGATTTTCTTTTTAACACAGACTCTAGATCTTACTGCCACATAATAAATATCTGGTTTCCTGCCTGCTCAGGATCACCGACTGTGACAGGCCGTCGCCGGCACACTGGGGGTGACTGTGGAAGTCACTGATCTAAGTCAGAGAGGTTAAGGTTAAAAAAAGCATGAAAGTGAAATTATAATTTCTCCTGCCCATTGATTTCCTTTCCTCCGGTGTGGCTTTAAGCTGCAGACATCACCAAACAGCGGTGAATTATCGACGGCTTGTGAGAACTGTGTATTGAACAGTTGAGCTGCTGTGATGAGGCCAGAGCAGCGCTGGCTGCTCTCCAAGGCCGCTCTGTCCAGGCGTACAGCAAATATAAACACTGTTAATCTCCCAGTTAACAATTAACCAGCGAGTCCGGCTGGTTTCTTGAATAAGCGGACCTGATTCTCTGCACGATTTCGCTGTTATACTACAGTAAACCTCTGATTTCTCCAAACTGTCTTTCAAAATGAAACCATCAATTTCTAAACGGGCTGCTTTCCTTCAAGGAGGCTATTAGGTTTAGCTTCTTCCTAAGGAAAAGAATCTATCGCAGTTTTATCTCCTGTCTGGTGTATTGTTGAATAAAATGCACTATAATTACATGGTAGTTCAGTGTGGACAGCTGGTTGTCAAAGAAATATTTAATGTTTTTTATCGTCTTTGTTGGAAATGTTGGCTCAGTCATTAGTGAAAAATGACTGTCAATAATCTCATGGTCTTTACTACGCTCCAGATTTGAAGAGATCCTTCATCTGAAAAGGGGGCAGTAATACTTGTGGAACAATGTGACAGATTTTTACAATCATCTAATTAATCAGTCAAAGAAATATTATGATTACTAGTCCATTATAAGGGCCCGAAAACCTAATTTCTCAATCAGCGTCTTTCTTACTCTGACTGATTGATGGATATGTGAACACAAAACTGCCCAAATCTGCTTAAGATAGAACAGTTTTTGTTATTTAACATGAGACATTTCTGTGTTTTTCTACTGGTTTTAAGGAAAAAGGTGACGTTGCATACTTGAGTGCACCAATCAGGTGCAAGAACAATATTTAAATGAATACGGGATGACAGCTGTGGGGTTGTTTGTTAATGAAATCTGATCAAGACCCACTTACTTGTTTTCAATGGGACTTTCAACTTTAAATATTCACAACTAATTAAGCAACAATCAAAATATACCAATAACATTTGTCTATATAAGTATTATTTATATCGAACTAATATTTTAACTGACACAAATGTTTTTTAACCAAGCATTTCATGGTCCTCTTCCCCAGATGACTGAACTTCCTCAACTCCATCCACTTGGCAAGACCATGAGATTTGTTTTAAAGATCTAGAGAATGTTTTTTTTTGTTGTTGTCAAATTAAATATTCATGACTAAAGAAGCAAAACAATCTCAGCTGAAAACTCCATAAAAAAGCTAGTAAGTGGACCTTGAGTTGAGTTTTTTTTGGTCAACCTACTGTTTTAAAGGTTAGCAAATGAACTTTCACACTCATTAATATTTAATGTCATTAATATTTAAACACTGATAGGATGGGTTTAAGAATATCTTTAGAGAAAGGCGCACCTGATGATGTTCAGTGTGACTATTAATGCCTGATGGGAAGAAAATCCATGTGTAATTGGAAGGCTTGATTTTGATGTGAAAGAAAATAGGTTAAAATATATGATCCTCAAGAGGCATGCTCCTTTAAAGAGTGAGTCAAAAGGCAGGGATATACATGTCTGTGCCGCTATTGGACGACTTAAGCAGGTCAGGGCTGTCAGTCAGCGCCGTCCCGCTGCCTCTCAAGCATCACTCCTCAAATGCATGTTAAGTGAAATGAATTCTGCGGCTCTCTGAAACGCAATGAGCCACATCCAGAGCAATAATACCAATAAGCCCCGTGGATAATCTCATGACTGACTCAGATTAAGTCATGCACGGCTCGCTGGAAGGCTGGCTGGTCGCGCCGCAGTCACGGAGGGAAGTAAAGGGAAAGGGAGGAGGCTGATACAGGGAGGTGGCTTTGTCAGGATGTTCACCGAGCTAAACCGAACCTCCCCTCTCTGCCCACTGATGGTGGCATCACGTACCGCCCCCCCCCGGTTGAGGGCTCAAAGGTGAAGTTGAATCAGTGGTTAATATGTGACTACACACGGCGATCCCACGCCCTGCTTCACCTCCACCGCACCATCTGTCTGTACGGATAATTGAGCAGCATATTATGTGCAGTCACTGCGCCCTGTTGTCCTGCAGGCTCTCAGCGTTATCACCGACTGGGCCAAAGGTTCCACTGCAATGTTTGGTGGACAAGAAAAACTCAAGACACCAGGAGGGACAGATTTACCATCAATTAAACTCACTGGTTTCATTTAGGAATTAGAATATTTGCACGGGTTTGAGAGTGGGTGCAAATATTTGATGTTGTTTCACCGAATCCTGATGTGAACTTTAATCTACAGCAGCATGTTGCCTTACGAGTGAAGATTAAAATTTTCCACAAGGTGGTTCAAGGGGTAAAACAAGGCGTCTATCAGCTATTTTCTGTCTGGCGAATTGGTTAATTTACACCCTACCTCCTAAAGAAAATATATATATTTAGTTGGGTTTGATGTTAGTTATTGTTGATAATATTTTACTTTTTATTTAAGCGTGAAGTCTCACAACACAAATCCAGTTTAATGTAATTATCTGAACCACTGATCTGGAAGAGAAACTCATGCTGAACATTTTACTTAAGTGTAACTTCATGTGAGCTGCAGTAATTACAGCAGTTAAACAAACTTTAATGAGTTTAAGGGCTTGACAGTGATTTAATATTAACAATATGTCATGAAAAATATCCCATATGGGGATATAATGTTCTGTTATACAGTATGAAAGTTGTCAGTGTGAGATCTAATAATAATTACAGTCCAATTTCTTTTTTTCCCCCTTCAGCTCCACATTGTGAGCAATTTAGCAAGATGTTTTTGTAGATGGACAAATGTTTTTCTTTATTGGGAGAACTGGAGAATTTAGAGACTTTTTCTGTTTAATCAGTCACTAACTTGCTTGTTGGAAGTTGGCATTCCCAAACTGATGTCTTCAAATGTCTTGTTTTGTCCAAGCAACAGTCCAAAGCCCCAAAACTATTCCATTTAAAATAACAAACAACAAAAACACTTCTGATATTTGAGATGCTGGAAGCAGACTGTTTGTTATATTGGCCTTTTATAAATGACTTAATCATTTTATCAGTTTATCAAAAGTTCAGATAAAATTAATAAGATGGTTAAACTACAGACAAACTAAAAAAATGCTGCCTACTTCCTGTTTCACAGCATGTGTAATACGTGCGTGGCGGCGTGCATGTGTGTGTGCGCACTGACCTGCAGCACAGAGTGACCCAGCGGACTGTTCTCTGGCAGTTCGGCCTCGTAGTGACTCCTCTCAAACTTGGGAGCGTTGTCGTTCTGGTCGGTGACTGTGACCCGCAGCAAAGCGCTGCTCGCCCTCGGCGGCTTCCCGCCATCCACCACCCGGATGTTCAGGTCGTACGATTCCTTCTTCTCACGGTCCAGGTTGCCCATGACGACTAGTTGAGGCAGCTTCTCGTCCGTGTCCACAGCGACCTGCAGGCTGAAGAGCTGGTCGGCGTCCGGACCGGTGCTCAGCGAGTACTCGGCCACGCCGTTAGTGCCGGAGTCCCTGTCGGTGGCCATGGGGATGGCGAAGAGGGCGCCGACATGCATGTTCTCTGGGATGGACAAGCTGAGAATGGGCGAGGAGAACTGCGGCGTGTTGTCGTTGATGTCCAGCACCTCAATCCGGCCCTCGATCAGCCGCGGCCCGTTGCTGATGCCTTTCACCATGTCTGTGATCGACACCTCAAACTCCAGGAAGCATTTGTCGCCCTCAAACAGGTTGCGGCAGTCCCTCAGCGTCTCGCGGTCGATGGGGATCTCGGTGGTGTAGATGTCGCCGGTCTTGCCGTCGACCCGCAGGTACGGCGAGCCCACCTCCAGCTTGTAGAGGTGGCCAGTGTCAGGCAGGCCCTGGTCCGCCGCCAGGCTACCGATCAGCGTGTTGGGTGGCTGTTCCTCAGGAACTCGATACAGGATGTCGGTGGGCGCAGCGCCGCAGGAGACCAGCAGAACGACTGCCAGGAACAGCAGGACCTCCCATCTCAGCGCCGCCATCTCTCTGCCCGACAGCACCGCTCTGAAAGAGACAGAGAAAACAGATTAGCGAGTCCGCCTGTCACTCATCCTCTGAACCCCGTTCAGACAGCCAAATAACAGAAAGTTGACTTAGGACCCACAGAGCTGCTCCTGTCTCAGATTTATGTCAGTGTTGTTCAGCAAATGATGGTCGAATTCGTCTCCTTGGGCCACTAAACACATCCCAAACTGTTTTTTTGCAAGACCTGAGGGCGATGAGGTTTCAGGCCCGAGTCTGCAGTGTGCAGAGAGCAGCCGAGCAGCCCAGAGCGATGACTTCCTCCTGCTGCTGGTCGACCGCTCTGACAGGAAGACAAACCTAACACTGCTGCAGGCGACTCGACCAAAAATAGTGACGCGGGGCAGCGAGAAGAAACAGGACAGTCTCAGACATTTTCATGCTGATTGTGTTATTGTGATATTGAGGAGTTCGCACTCGTGGAAGAGCAAAGCCAAAATCGGCTCATTTTGTCATCCAGTTGTGAATATTTTTGGGTTTTGCGCTTTTTTACATAAAAATGACACACAGGTGTTACATCTAAACATGTCACTTTTAAAGTGTAAACATTTTGTATATGCCAATGTCACATTTAAAATCAAATACTGACAAATGGGGCCATCTGATTGGACAGAATTCAAATGTCTGTCAAACTGTGAGCAAAAGAAGATGCAGAGCGCAGTTCACTGATCACAGATCAGATCAGATCACTGTCCAGAGTGAAGTGCTAATCGAGTTGCTAGCCCAGTGATTTAGTTTTACTTTGAAAATCTTCACCTGTTTCCTGCATTTCAGTATCTGAGTGAGACTGTGAAGTGTTTGCAACAGGTGATTTTCATCCTTTAGGATCAAACACGATAAAAAAAATGTTTTAGTTTTGACTCACTAGTATTTGAGTATTCTTTACTGTCTCTGTCTAAAGTCTGTTTTTCCTCATCTGAGAGATAATAGGAGGGAATTATTGTCTAGTTTGTAGTAAATTAATAAATTGTATAAATTAATACCAATCACCTGAAATAGTAAGAGCTTTAAGACATCTGCATCTTTACCTCAGTCAAAATCTACTTTTAAATGCATGTTCTTAAATAAAATCCTGTGTTTTTGTTGGTTCTTGAAGCAAAATACTGTGTACAAGTTAATTTGACAGTTTTATTTATATTACACTCCCCATGTGTGTTAACGTAACACACATTAACTCATCTGCTCATGTCCTGAGGGGTCAAAAGCTCAAAATGTGTGACCGCGTGGACCGTACCCACAGAGCTTACAAACACGTGTGGACAAGTCTATGTATGCAGAATCGCGTGCATGTCCGTTTTTGGAGTACATTCGGCCCTTCGATTTGTATTTGGCGGTGACAAGAGACATACACGATGAAACGGGGGTCAAGTAGTGGCCCAACAGTTTATTTTTGCCCCCGGGCGCCTTTGTGAGTAAATCAGGCCACGACTTGACTCATCACACTAACGTCTGTGTGGCTGCTTTAGGGCTATTTATGCTACGCTAGGTCATGCTGGGCAGGAAGAGGTTCGTACGTCATAAAGTGTTTACGCCCGATCCAAACGGCCACACTCGAAGACGGGGCGAAAAGCCGGCCGTCAGAGAGAGGGGGGCAGCCGTGATATTGTACATTTTTAGAGACACTCTCCTGGAAGACACTGACAGAGTAGCACCTGAAAAGAGAGCTGGAGTGAGATGTTCAAACCCTGGCTCCTCTCTCACCTTCGCAATGGCTGATGACTAAACGGCGTGAAGGGGGTGTGAGTGTCGGATTGTTTGTTTTAGGAAGTGTTTATGTGTGTGTGTGTGTGTGTGTGTGTGTGATAGGTTGGGGTTTCCAAAGCTACTCAACCATCCAACATGCAGCTCTGACGACAGTTTCTCACCCCTGAAGTTTCCCAGCAGAGGGAACAACACACCAAATTAATTAATAAAATGTTTTAAAGTTTATTTAAGATGCCAGATTTCAAATATGATTACCGCTTGTGTTTTAAAACATTAATGTCTTGAATATATATATAACATATATATATATAACAGAAAACAGGCTCGCAGACTTCCTCACTGTCTTCTGGCTCATGGGATTTAAGACTTCTTGAGAGCTTCTAAATGTCAGGCTGAATGAAATATAAGAACCCTTCTTTGTTATCCATGTGCACATAAAACAGGATATTTAACCAACTATAAGAAGCCATGAATACAGATTTCGATGATGAGACTTGGATCAAGGCTGGATGTTTTACTCACAAACTGACTTTTCACCCGACGTCTGGTGAGCTCTCTTTACATATACTCTCTTTTATTTCCTTTCTCTCCTTGGTCCTTCAACCTCTCTTTCTTCTGTCAGTCTCCACACAGTTTTTTATTTTTTATTTTTGTCTTGGCACTTATTCATCTCAGACTCACACTCTGTATTTCGTGCGGTAGGAGATTCTCGGCTGCGGGTCGCGGAGGTTAATGTGAAGAGCTTTCCCCCCCCTCACGACCTTGATTTGCAGAGGAACAAACATACACTTAACGTGGAACAGCACGCTGAGCAGGAAGCTCTGCAACGTCGATGAGTTAAATGTGTGGTACTGAACTGTGGATGTGTGGTGTGTGTCTCTGGATGCATGTATGTGAGTAGGAGTGAAGCTTGTATTTTCTGGGCCTGTTAAATCTCCTACAGCGTGAGAGGGAAGCCTTGCACACATTCATTCAGTGACATGAACTGAATCTGATCCAGCAGCTGTCGTTCACAAAGGATAATAAAGTTATTTGGCTCCTCCGCTCGTCTACTCACAGAAAATAAAAGTGTATCATGGTGACTAAGTCGACACTAGACGTCACCGAGTGAGATCTCTGTCCAAAACATCCTCAAATGTTAAATGTTGTCTGCACACGAGCAGCCTAAAGAAAACAGTATGCGTTGCTTCAGGAAGCGTAATCAAAGAATAAGTGAGCTAGATAAATCTTACGATTTGTGTTGCCAGCTTTCTTTTTTGATTTCTGTTGGAGGATGAACCTCATTCTCTATCACAACGTTCTTAAGAATGACATTAACAGCACACGCAGCAGAGGCCATTTTAATTATAAATAATTATGTTGACTGTTTTAACATTTAATCAGTTAATCTGTCTATGAAATGTCACTGAAACAGTCCGACCACCAGTCAAAAGCTTAAAGAAATCTGTTTTTAATCATACATTGCAGAGAAAAGCACAACATCGAGAGGCTGAAAGCACCAAATGTTAAACTTTGCTGCTCCCTGCTGTGACACACACACACCTAATTACCCCTATACAACGTGTGCGCACGTTGGGGGGGGGGGGGTCGTGTTTGCAAGTGTGAATGTGCATGTGAATGCCTCTGTGTGTGTGTTTTTGTGTTACAGTGTAAACTATTTGTGTGTGTTTCTTTTCACACATTTTTCTCCAGAGATGCCAAATATCCCAAACCACCGATCCTTGACCTCTGACCCCCCCCGGGCCCCCCCCCGGCATTTCACACGTCGCGTTGGAAACGGAGCTGCAACAACACTGCCGACTGGCCGACGTCCCAGTCTGCTAATGTACCGCTAACCACGACAGTCTGTCTGCACTGAACTGAACCGACCGGTCAGACTTGTTATAAAGACACTTGTATCAGGATTTGATGTTGAGAAATGTGCAAGTTCTACACAAATAATGTTTATCTTTAAGATTTTTTGCCGATTTCACACCAGTTTTATAACCCGTGATGTGCTGAGGCTAATTTAGTAGATTTTCTTCCAGGCATACATGTAATATATTTTTATTTAATATATTATGTGATACTAAACAGGAAACAATTTATCTGTACTTTATGGATGTAAACTCTCACAGCAAGTGATATCTGTCTGATGTTTTGTAATTCCTCGTATATTAACATGAAGCTTGACACCGCTGCTTTGTCATCAGAGCAAGAGTTTGTGATCTCATGTTTTGCCTGCAGGTCAACATAAACCAGGAAATGCACCACATGAGGGAAGAAAGCAGGCTTTCAAGATGATGTTGCCATGCATGATGAAGAGACATGGAGGCGACCTGTGTATCTTAAAACAGAATCAGATGCAGTCACTAAACTGGAATCTAGCTTTACCTCTATATGACACCTGAGCTTCGGTACGGACCTAAAACTTTTGTTCATACCTACAAAAAACACATTTTCATTTAGCAGTGGAGGCCAACGTTTTCAAGCAGCTCAACACAAGTTTTGTCTAAATAACATACAGTCTAAAAACGGAAAACGTTTAAGATTAAATCAGATAAAAGACTCCTAATCTGACCAGACATTTGTACTTTGTTTAGAGACAAAATGTATCTATAAATATATATATAAATCTAATTAAATATATCATATTTGCTGTCAAATCCATTAGGAGGTCATGAAAACAGACAATAAAATTGTGCAAATTTCCAATTTGTACAACAACACAGTGACTGAAGCCTGTAATGTAAACTCTTAACATATGGAGTCAGAGCTCCTGGGTCATGAGAAGTTTTAGGACAGGGTCAAATGTCAGGGGAGTAAAGAAAAAAATCAAAGTGCCCCATGTTGACATGTTTGTTCACATGTAGTGTACGCTGTGTGCAAGTGTGTGTTATTGTGTGTGTTGTCCCCTCGGGGACGGACCCGGGTGAATCAGAGATCGTCCAGTTCGTCCTTTTTCCCACAGTCTGAAACTTTCTCACCAACCAGCCAAATGTGTGTGTGTTAGTGTATAAAGAGGCCGGGCCAACAAGCAGCTGGAACCAGTGTGTGTGTGTCAATACAAAGACACTGGAGGGCTATAAGGACAGTAACATTTCCATGTGTAAGGAGCCAGGCAGTAACTGTTTGATGGTTTGACTCTTGCTCAGAGTCGTCCTGTTTGGTCGAGAGACAAAGACTCACAGTAGGCGACACAGCAGGAGAGAGAGAGAGAGGGCGTGTCCAGACAACAACGCCCCTCTCTACATTACAAAGCAACTCAATGGGCCTGTTACCCCCCACTGTGGGTGTGT